TATATATATATATATATATATATATATATATATATATATATATATATATATATATATATATATATATAACAAGAAGCGAGTCTTCTACAGCTGGCGCCGCTTCTCGCATCCTAATTTCCAGCGTTTTCTGTCGAAGCAATCTTCAGTTGTTAGATCTCTGGCGGTCATTGCATCGTCGACATCGTCTCTCCAGGATCGTCTTGGTCTACCTCGTTTTCTTCTAGTTGGCGGAGTCCATTCTTCTATTTTTTTTTTGGCCATCTATTTTCCGACATTCTCTAAAGGTGTCCATACCAGTTAAGTCTTTTGGCTTCGATTGTGTCTATTATGTCTAGATCGATTTCCATTTCTCTCCGAATATCTTCGTTTCTCACCCTATCAAGTCTAGTGAGCTGGCAACATCGTCTCCAGTAGTTCATTTCCATGGCCTTAATTTTTGATTTGTTTCTTTGGTTTATTTCCCAGAGTTCGGCGCCATACAGTCCAATACTTTCTATTATTGTTTTATAAATTCTTCTTTTATTTTCTTTTGTTATTTTTTTATTCCATAATAGTCCGTGTAGCTGTCTGGTGACTGATCTTGCTTGACCAATCCTGGAATGTATTTCTTCGCTACTTCCTGCTTTTCATGTTATTTGGACTCCCAAGTACTTAAAATTGTCTGTTGGTTTTATAGTTCCCATTTCGATTTGTAGGCTTTCTGGTTTTTCTCCTACAACTAAGTACTCAGTTTTTTGTATATTAATTGTGAGGCCCCATTTGGTATACTCATCTTCCAGTTTTCTAAGCATGTAGCTTATATCACTCTCGTCTTCAGCTAGAATGGCTTGGTCGTCAGCGAAATGTATCGTGTACAATCTATCATCTCCGATTGGGATGTCCATATTACAGCACTTTCTTCTCCACAGTGAGAGTGCCTCATTTAGATATATTTTGAAGAGTGTAGGTGCTATGCAGCAGCTTTGCTTTAGGCCCTTACTAATAGGAATTTCTCTAGTTAATCTATTTCCAGTTTTAATGTTTGCCGTCATATTTTTGTAGAGTTGTTGTACTGCTTGTATATTTTTTTTGCTTATTCCTTTTTCGATTGCTATCCAAAGCATTGAAAGTGGTACACTATCGTATGCCTTTGTCAGATCTATAAGTTAGTTGATATATCATAGAACTATATGAGTTGAAAGGTTGTGGGCTAATCTTTTCTCGATAACTTGCTTTAGAGAGAATATACTGTCCATGCAGGATCTGCCTGCATGAAAGCCATTCTGTTCTTCTACATCTGTCACCTCTTTTTCAATTTTATTTTTTATTATTTTTCCATAGTCTTGAGAGTGAATTTATGACACTTAGCCCCCTATAGTTTGAACAATTCTTTCTATCTCCTTTTTTGTATATGTTGTTAATATGTGCTTTTGTCCACTCTGGTGGTAAGTCGTGTCCATTATAGAATAAGGTGAAGACATACGCCAGTAATTCCCGTAATACTTGTGGGCTATGTTTTAATAATTCATTTGGTATACCTGTGGTCCGCATGACTTCCCATTTTTTAGAGTTTGTATTGCATTCTCGACTTCCTGTAATGTTATTTCATCGTCTTCACTGAATTCCAGTTCATATGTTGTACTGATGTTCGTGAATTGAGGTATTGTTTCAGTCAAAAGTTGTGAGTAGTGTTCGATCCAAGATTTTTCTTCTATTAAATCTATTCTACTCATTTCTTTTCTGTTTGTTCTCAGATTTTTTACCGTTTTCCATGCTTCTCTTGATCTTGTTGACCCTATATATTTGTTGAGTTCTTCGCATTTACTTTCCCAGGAAATATTTTTTGCTTTAGTTACTAAGTTTTTTATTTCTCTGTTTGATCTTGCATATGTTCGTCTATCATCTGGATCATTTGTTTGCAGCCACTTTTGATATGCTTGTTTCTTGTTGTGTACTGCATTGGCGATGTCATTTGTCCACCACAATGGAGTATTCTTTTTGTTCTTTTGGAAATGTTTGAGTCTAAAATGATGGTACAGTGAAAATATATATATATATATATATATATATATATATACTGTATATATACTGTATATATGTATATATATATATATATACAGTCAAAATCGTTTACAACGACACCGGCTATAACGTTCAATCGGATATAACAAACAAAATAGTAGGTCCCATAAAATGACATACAAAAAACGCATTTATATTGCTTATAATGAACAAATCGGTTAGAGCAAACGTATTTCTTGGAACACTAGTAGTTAAAATATTGGTTACAGCGTACATCTTAATAAATAAGTTTAAAAGTGCTATCCTGTAAAGTTATGAAAATGGACATTGTAGTGTTGTATTTCTCACAGGTATTACCGATATTTAATACCACGAAATGAGAAGTAAGGATTTATTAATTTATGGTTATAGTATATCCGGACAGGCATCTACTGTCCTTTAGACAGTTAGACCTCCCAAGACGGGTCCATTGTATTATAAAATTTTGTTTATACATATTTCACCATTTGGCCTAAGCCAAGAGTTTCTGAATTTGAATTCAGTTGTGTCTAGCCTTCATTGAAAAAATGTCTCGGAAACAATTTACTATTGAGGAACAGTTTGGAATAATTTGCAGAGTCGATTCCAGTGGAATAATGAGAAGTCGAGAGAAAATTATTAAGCAATTTAACAAGTGTGAAAAAGGAAAACGCGTTCGGTCATCAAATTACAGTGACATTGAAAGTGCTTTGCTCGATTGGTTTAAACAACAATGCGCAAACAATGTACCCGTGAGTGGGCCGATGCTTCAGGTAAAGGCTGATGCTTTCGCTGTGATTTTGAAGAAGAATTTTAAGTGTAATGCTTCCTGGGTTTAACGTTTTCGAGCTCGCCACAATATTGTCCATGGAAAAATTTCAGGTGAGTCAGCAGTTATTGACAGATCAATTATAAATGACTGGGTTGAAAATGTGTGGCCTACACTCAGGTCCGACTATAGCGATGATGAAATTTTTAATGCTGACGAGATGGGGTTATTTTTTAGACTGACACCTGATCACACGTTAAAGTTTAAAGGCGAGAAATGTTCCGGTGGTAAACTCTCAAAAGAGCGTGTTACAGTTCTTGTTGCAGCCAACATGTCCGGTTCCATAAAAAGGAAGCTTTTGGTGATAGGAAAAAGTAAAATGCCGCGCTGTTTTAAAAACGTGAAAAATCTCCCTGTTGATTATGATTTCAATAAAAAAGCCTGGATGACGTCAGCTATTTTTGAAAAGACTTTACTAAAATGGGACAGTGAACTTTTACAACAAAAGAAACACATAATTTTAATTGTCGACAACTGTCCGTCCCACCCCCAGTTGACAGGTTAAAACAAATTAAACTCGTTTTTCTGCCTCCAAATTGTACGTCTGTACTGCAGCCCATGGACCAAGGAGTTATAAGAAGTCTTAAAGCATGCTTTCGGAAAGAATTGGTGTACAAAATCATCGAAAAGAGAGAGAATAACGACGATACGAAAGTCAGTATTCTTGACGCTGTACTAATGATATCAAAGGCATGGGAATATGTGCGGAAGGAAACGATCATCAACTGTGTTCGTTTTTCCGGCCTAACTAAAGACTTACAACCATCAGGAATCGCATACAACGATATTGCACAAACGCATTTGCAGGATGCCATTTCCCTTTTCAGTTCTGACTGCTCTGCAGATGACTATGTACGAGTGGATGACGAAATAAGTACGAGCGAAGAACTCTCAGATATTGACATCGTACTGAGTCACCAAACTAGTGACAAACAAAGTACTGATGAGGCTGATGAAGAATTGGAAGATTTCGGCAAAATCCCTACTGTTGCTGAAGCATATGCTGCTTGTTCCACCATACGAGCATTTATTCAGACTGCTGAAACTTCCCAGAGTGTAAAAGAATTATTATCGATTGTTTCCACATGAATTAAATAAATGTTTTTTTCAGAAGTTCAAGGAAGGCGACAAACAAAAATTACAGACTTTTTTCATTAAATATTCAGGTAAAATGTGTTTACATATTTTGTAATACATATATGTATGTATTTTTTTTGTCTTTTTAAAATAAATACTATATGTATGCCTACATTTTTATAATACGAAGATTTGGAGAAGCCGTTATATTATGTGTATACTTTATTCACTACTTATACTTATTTCAATACATATTATACATATATGTATGTACATATTTAGATTTGCTTAAGTACAATAAACACATATGTTAAATGTTATGTATATGTTATTATAACATATTATAAGTATAGTTAAAGTAACACATTTTTGCGTCATAACCCTAGGTACAACGAACTAACTGTCCCTATTAGTGTAATATCGTTTATAGCAACCTGCTCATTATAACCGATAGAACTGCTTACAGAGAACACTGGCTACAACGTACAAAAAGCACCAGTCCCCTGAAGTTCGTTATAAACGATTATGACTGTATATATATATATTTAGTTCAGTGTTTTACCGTTTACTTGCTGCCATTATATACATGAAAAAGTGACTAAAAAACAGAATTGTTTTAATTCCAGACCCATAGAACCTGACATATATCCAACAAAACATATATGCATATATATATATATATATATATATATATATATATATATATATATATATATATATATGCACACATGTAATATGACAATATACAAATGTCAAGAGATACATATACATAGCAACTTTTAAAATGAAGTTATTTTTTACCTATGCTTGATAACTCAAATAAAATCTTCATAACTCGAACTCTTGGTAACTAGAACATTCGATAAGTTGGACAAACTTCCCTGGCCTTGGTGAGTTCAAGTTATCCAGAGTCAACTATAATTGAAAGACTGATAGGACGAATTGCAATTGCGATGTTATATTTGTTTTTAATAAATAACTTGTAACTGTAATTTTGATTTTTGTTTATTTAAAATTGGAGAACATAAGAGTATTTTTATTGTAATTTAATTTATGAAATAACTTATACACTTACAGCCATAGAAGTGATGGATGATTTGGAAAATAACCTTTCGGCTTCTTTGAATTTTCTATTTCTTTTATCAGCTTTTGAATTAGTTGTTTTATTGCTTGATAGGTATCTATCCCAGCCTCGTATTATATTACCATACAGCTGAGTATCTTCTAGATAGGATCCCTCAAAAGCATATATTTGCTTTTCCAAATTTGCTAAGGTTTCCTAAAAGCAAATAATTTGTTGTTACAGTATATGTTTATGCCAATAAAATAAAAACACTTGATTAAAATAAATACTTAACCCCAATTTCTGCTTTCCTTTTTACTAATTCAGCTAATTCTTGTCGAGCATCAATTGATATTTTATTTGACATATTCAAAAACTGTACTGTTTATTAGCAAGTAATGAGTATCTGTATAATAATTAGCAAGTAATGTATCGTGAAAAATCCGAAATAACCAATTCAATTAGATCAAAATTTTGACAATAAAAAATCTGTAATGGACAGAGCTTGTTATTGTTACGATTTTTATGATTTGTTAGACAAATTACGCTACGCTAACGCAGAGTTGCCAGTTCAAATGCTCTACACTCCATCTAATTTACTTACATTGCACGTCATTATCATAGACAGTAGACAGAGATCGAAGTTGACATAGTTGCCAAGGTATAAAAAATCCTGAATGCATTTTAAAACAAATAAGTCGCATAATTATTGCAAAAGTGGATTATACAACAAAATTATTAAACATAAATTAATATTGAATGTAAATAAATAGAAACAAAACAAGCGTTAAAAAATAATCTTGTTAAAAACAATTTGAGCCGCAATTCAAAGTTGTTTATTTTGAGAATTAAATACCTATATTATATTAGATATAGTATGTTTTTGTCTTATTTATAAAAATGTATTTATTTGTTTTAATTTTAAAATAAATGTGGGTTTTTCCCTCACTATGCTCAGATAACTTAACCAAGTATGTCTTTACTGAGTACAAGGAGTTTCCCTCCTTTTAATTAAGTGTTCATTCCTTTCATAAAACCTTTCCTTACCAAATAAAAATTAATACAAATTTAGAATATTAATATTCTTTATTTAAAAAATTATACAGATATAATTAAATACATTATAAAATAGATTATTTTATTTTATAGCTTCATGAGGAGTATGAAAACAATTAGAACATTACAAAAAATTATATATATATACAGTAGAACCTCGGTTAACCGATTTTCGGTTAACCGAGATTCCGGGTTAACCGAGGCCGTCTGTTTTGCAACATTTCTGAACGTACTGTATATGTTATGTTATATAAATATATTTATTTGGTTTCTTACAATTTTTAAAATGTTTCTTGTATTTATAAACTGAACAAAAGTCACAAATATCTAGTTTTATATTGTCATTTAAGTATATTGAGACATATTTATAATACCAATTGCAGTATTGTACTATATTCAGGTAACGTTCCGTGTTATCCGAGTTTTGCCGTATCCGAGGTACTCTCGGTCCCAATTACCTCGGTTAATCGAGGTTCTACTGTATATATATATATATATATATATATATATATATATATATATATATATATATATATATATATATATATATATATATATATATATATATGTATATATATGTATGTATATTGAAGTAGCAGCAATTTATTAAAAATTTTTAGTAACCCTGACAGCACAAGACATCCCATGGACGCCGATTTTATGCCATTTTAAGGTCCAAACGTCCCGGGACTTCTTTTGGACGTCCAAGGGATATTTCTAGTCGGACATACCAGGGACGTCCCATGAGTTCGTCCGAAGGACGTTCCATTAGGGATGTTTTCTAGATGTTAACTGTGTCATTTTTTTACTTAGGCATATTTTTTACAAAATATAATATCTTCCTACTAAACTTTATTTTCAAAAGTTATATTTAGTTTTAAATACCATTAATTTATACGAAAACAGACATCTCTAAAATTATGTTCTGTAGTAGAACTGAAATTTAAAAATTAGAAGATGAAAGAAGAATGTGGTTATGTTTTAACGACGCTTAGCTTTAGCTAGCATTTTCGGAATATTTTATTTCTCGAATTATAATCATTGTGGTTGTGGTTGTAATTAAAGTTAGTTTATTGCTTTCGATACTAGTTTATAGTTTGGTAATTTATTATTATAGACATTAAGTAGGTATATAGGAATTTTATAGGTAATTTTTGTGGTTCTGGTGTGAGTTGCTACATTTGTAAAGTAAGTACTAGTAATGTGCTTAAAAAATACTATAAATTTCAAATAACATATTATAAATATATAATATGTTAATATAAAAGTACACAATAAAAATCCCATTTATTTTTGCTTTTCATTTTATTAGTTTTTTGTAAGTTCCCTTTAGGTCCCGTATACATCCTCATTTAGGTCCTGTATTAGTCCATGTGGACGTATAATGGATGTCCCCAATACATCCTTTTTAGGTCCTATATAAGTCCGTATTAAGTTCTGTATTTGTACTATGTACGTCCCCATGAACATACCTGGGACGTCCAGGGGACGTACTTTTTGGTAACATTTAGGTCGTATTGGACGTCCCGCCCGGGGACGTCCAAATTATGTAAACGGATGTCCGTGGGATGTCCGGACATTTAATGAGGTACATCCTTCGGAAGTCCATGGGACGTACTTGTGCTGTCTGGGAAACAACATAAAAATATTATGATGTATGTATTGCAATCAATACTTAACAAAACTGAAAAAGAAACATACATAGTCTAAAAACAAAAGACTATACAACAAATAAAAAGGTAAAACCATATCTCACCAGCGGAAATTAAAATATTAAGAACCTTAAATCTAAATTAAATCCTATCTAGAAAAAAAAAATAAACAGGAAGGAGAATAGAAAAAAAATAACCATGATTTTAAAACACAAAGTATATTTTTTTCGTCTTTATAGAGGGCGGGTCTGAAATCTTAAAAAGACATCTCAGTCCAGGATGCCGCCTGACTGACCTTAGTGCAGGATTCATTCTTCGTAGTCCCGGCGATAGTTTCCGAGGTACTTTAAAACATCATTTCGTCGCTGATTCTACGTCAAATGCCTACCTGCTAAAACAGACCCTACTCTGACATTCAGTGCTCCGAAAGTGAAAAGGCCACTGAAAGACAGAGTTGACACTTCCCAAACACTATCTTCAGTTGGGAATAAGCCACAATGTTTTATATGTTATAGTTACTGATGTTTTAATCTCTATGACCAGACATTGTTGCCAACAATACAAAATTGTGATTTATTTTTCGAAAATAAATCACAAATTTTGTATCTATGATAATAGACTCTGGTCATATAGATTGAAAAACATCAGTAAATAAACATATTGTGGCTTATTCCTACATTTTCCCTAAAACTGCAGAGTATCCAACAAAGGAAAAAGATCTGCTAGCGCCTTAAAATAAACAATTAATTATAGAAAAATTCCAGTGACAAGTCAAACATGATAAAATCTATAATTACCCTTTTTATAGTCTATTAACTTCAATGAAGCTAATTCAGCTTCATCAATAGCTCTCTGCCTCTCCTTCTCAGTTGCTTCTCTTAAGGCTTTTGCCCTCAGCATATCTTCTTCTAAAATCTTCATTTTCATCCTATGAATCTCGTCTTGCTGCCTGATGGTATAATCAGGCAGCAAGATGTTGACCTCAAGCTGGCAGTTATAATTTGTTGATGATATTTGTATAATGAACTCCCAAGCCATATTTTTCTCCATTGCTGAAGCACTGTTTGTCCTTTTGTTCTCTACCACACCGTTTTCTGTTACCAGCTGGATTAGGAGAACTTTTTCGTTTGTTGAGTAAGGTGCATATTTACTGCTATTTCCACTCATCTAAATTTTACATAACCAATTTATTTAGCGTACGGCTTACAAATGCAATATAATTATAATGATTGTAACGCATTACACACATATAAATATATCCAAAAACAAATATACATCTAAGCATATATTTTGAACATCAAAAATTATGCCTCAGACACAGTAACAAAATAGAAATTAATTCTGTAGAATAAATATTTTTTATAACATATTACATACCTTAAAATAGTTAATATCCAATATTAATTTCAAACACAAAATATTAATATCAAACACAAAATTTCAGTAAGTAGCATAAACTAAATTTGGCGCTAAAAGTTTAGTCACAATTATGAGAAAATTGACAGAATCTTCTTTTTTTCGATGTTTATTCGTAATTTACTTTTACCGTACTAATTTTTTCTTGCTTGAGATCAACCTTGTACGAGAATACCCGAGGTATCGTTTATAGAACACAACAAATACCTGAACATGACTTTGACGTAAGTTCGACTTGGCGAAGCTCGTGCTCGAGCACGATCTTGAGTACCGACTATAAATACGGGGCTAGAACATGTTCTATTTTTCATGCTATTTTCTTGCAATTTATCGTTAAAATTCATGTTGCCAACATAACAATTTATAATAGATTACAGAATAAAACATAACCTTATCTCTATCCAGGAGCTTAAGAAAAGTGGACTCGTTCAATCGAAGAAAGTTTTTAAAACTTTGAAGGTCTCTAGCATCCAAGAACTCTTGGAGTAACTTCAAATTTCCCAGTCCTGCATTCAACCAAGGTTTGACCCAGCATTTTCTAGGTTTTCTTTTTTTATTATTTTTCATGATTGTTGCTACAACAGCAATATTCAACAATAACAATGTTTTCTTTTCTTTGGTTGACATCCTTCACCCTTTTAATTACCATAAATAGTGTATATTTATTTATTATATTATTTATTTTAGTACTTAATTATATTTATTTAAAATGAAATAACCTCAAATTGATAAATATTTCTCTGTTGGCAACAATGAAAGTGGGATCTAAAATTGCACAGAAATATCTCGGGGGGCCTCTGATGTAAAAAGGTCAAGCTAGGCAAGAGATGTGCCATGCAAGACGGACTTGCATAGCATGAGACTTGCATAGCCTAGATGTAAAGCTGCCTTTACAAGGCCCACGCTGCATGAAAAAATAAGTACGCGCATCTCGTTCGCGAAGGCGAAATCGGGGGAATCGGCCATGTTTTAGTGGGTGCCAGTGCTGCTCAGTGACATTTTATCTGGTGTGCATAGAAAAATTAACCCGGTTTAATTTATTTACGGCAACTATATAGACATAATATGCACTATTTTAATCGTACTTTAAGTTGAAGAATAGATGTTTAGTTGAACAAAATGTACTTTTCTAAAGCTTTATATTTGAAGCATACAGCATCTACATTATAAAAACATGCCAACACTGCGATAAGGTGAAGTGGGGTTAATGTGATCTACTTTTTGATTAGTTCAACTTTCATTTAATATAACACTTTAAGGAAACGTTTCAAAAATTTATCAAAAAAATCATATACTCTTTGAACGGTTTTGTATTCATTGTGTATAAAAAATTAAATAATCTTTAGTGTTGATAATTTTGCATAATGTTTTTTAAAATCATATCAATATATCACATTTACCCCAGCGACCGGGGC